GAGGGCATCCAGGGCCAGCAGGACCTCGGTGCCGGCGGCCAGGGGCCAGCGGCACACGCTGGAGGGCAACTTGACGCTCTGCGTGTCATGCACCACGTAGAGCTTCGCGCCCGGCGTCCCCTGCACGTGGAAGGCGACGGCGTCTTTGGGTGCAGATCTGGAGCGGGGTTGAAGGGGGGGGAAAGCACGGTGAGAGCGCCCGAGTGAGGGCAACGCTGCAATAATAGAGCGTGCGGCCACGTGCAGGCAAGGCAAGTCCTGCCACGCGCAAGAAATCTTGCAGTACGCGAGGAATCCTGCAAGGGGCAGTCGCAACGAGTCGCGCAAAATGCAAAGAGTCCTGCACAAGGCAGTTGCGACACGTCCTGCGGTACGCAACAGCCATAAATCCATAAATCCTGTGAATCCCGCAAAAGGCAATTCCACCAAGTCCTTCAATACGCAACGAACGCCGGCAATTTGCGGTCGCAACAAGTCCTGCAAAAGGCAACGACCGCAGGAGCGCAATTGCAACGAGTCCTGCGATACGCAACGCACCCTGCAAAATGCAATCGCGACAGGTTCTGCAACACTCGACAAAGCCCGCGAGATGCAATTGCAGTGAATCCTGCAACAAATCCTGCCAATCGCAATCGCAACCGGTCCTTCGCTGCGCAGCAAATCCTGCGAACGGCGATTATAACAAATCCTGCAAAAGGCAAATTGCAACAAATCCCGCAGAAGGTGATTACGACAAATCCTGCCAGAGGCAACAAATCCTGCGAAAGGCAACGGCAATAAATCCCACAAAATTAATTGCGAGGAACCCCGCGAGATGTGCAAAATCTTGCGATCTTCAATCGCACCAAGTGATGCAAAATGCGACAAGCCCCTCAATACAAAACTGCAACAACCCCCTGCGATATTAACGGCAATAAACCCCGCAACACGCACCAAGTTTTTGCAATATTCAACTGCAACGAACCCTCCAAAAATGCGATTGCAGCAAATCCCGCGATATCCCATGGCAGCAAAACCCCCGGAGCTGGTTGTGGGGGGAGGTATTTTGGCATGGGGTTGCCCAAATATTCGCATTTCACCCCGCGGCGATGAGCCCCGACCGGTCGCATCCCCTTAAGAGCGAAGCAAAGCTGCGACGGCGGGGCAGGCTGCAGCTCGCATCGCTCCGCCTCAGCGCAAGAGGCCACGGGCGACCGGCCAAGGAGCACAAATCCCGACCCGCGAGGAGGGAAACCTGCATCCATCTCCCGGGGGGAAAAACCCACCCCGGGGCCAGCGGGAGAGGACGGGATGCTGTGGGCAGCGACGGCGCGGCGGGTTTGGACGCGTTAAGGAAAATAAAACCCCCAAGTCGCTGTTTGAACTGGGCTTTAAGGAAGCAAAAAGCAAAACCCCGCTGCTGAAAAAGCACTTGAATTTGGGCCGAGGCCAGCGAAGCAGCTGAAACACGCCGTGCCGGGAGGTGACAGCCCGGCCAGCAGCGTCGCAGCGGTTTCACTCTCCGCGTTCCACCGAAACCAGGAAATATTTGCATTTTGCGGGAGGGAGGACGCAGTAAACCCCGGCCAGCCGGGATGCGAACCTCACCCCAGGGCATCGCTGAAAGCTCCTGGGGGGTGGGAGGGTGGAGTGCTTTTTGCACCCCAAAAAACTGCAAAATCCCCCTCGGATGGGTCACCGCCCGGCTGCCACATCGCAATTTGGAGCATCCTCTTCCTCCCAGGGCTCCTCATCCCCTGGAAAAACCACCCCAAGCAGCAGCATCATCCCCCTCCCCACCTTGAGCTATTTTTATCAGCTTGATTAAGGGGATAAAAGTTAAAGAATAAAAAAAATAATGAGATTTTATTTCCCCCCGCCCCCAGCTTTAGCGTCGCAGCCGCTTACCCGCGGATGTCCAGGGAGAGCTCGGTGCCCAGCACGCAGACGGTGCTGGTGGGACGCTGGGTGGAGAGCTGGACGCGGCGCTGCTGGGCCATGCCGGCGGGCCCCCGGGGCACCCTTGGGTGCTGCGATGGGTGGCACGAGGGGATTTATAAAGCCCGGCTGCTGGGAGGGGATTAACCAAAGCCCGGCTTAATCCCACCTCCAGGCTGGGTGTGCGCGGTGCCCGGCCGTGCTCCCCGGTGATGGATGGAGCGTGAATCAGCGGAGGGGGGGAAAAGCACCCCAAGACACCCACAAGGGTTTGGGATTGGTTTGTGGTGTTGTTTTTTTGGGTTTTTTTCTTTTTAAGAAGCTCGGGGGTGGTTTGGGTCCCCCCCCCAGCTCCCTCCCTTAACACAAAGAGATGCTGATGGGACCGGCCACCCTTAAACCCACGCCATAAAATATTCAGCGTGACACTGGAGCTGAGCTGGGGACGTGCCAGCGCCGGGCTCGGAGGGGTTTTATTTCTCCTCCTAAAGGTTTTTATTTGCCTAGCTAGAAAAATTGGCTTTAATTCTTATTTTTGAGAGGGTTGAAGGTGTAAGTTGGGTGCTTGCCCCATCCCCTGGGTGCTGCATGGGTCTGGGGGATCGGTACGTCACCTGCTGTGGGGACAGCAGACCCCGCCACGGCTTTAATCGTCTTTGTTATAATTAAATCCTCGCCTCGGCGTGGGAGAGCCCTTTGCCGATGCAGCTGTCCCCCCACCAACTCCCTGCGGGGTCACGCGCCGCTGGAATTTAATATCTCTCAGGCTGGGGAAACTCAGCATGAGCCGTAACTGCAGGGAAAGGGGGTTCCTGGGGTTAGAAATCCTCTTTTTGGCCAAAAAAAAAAAAAAAGGGGGGGGATGCCAAGAGGGATGCGTCACCCTTTTGGGGAGCACCTCCCTTGATTCTCCAGCAGCGCTTGCAAACACCACGTCGCAGCAGTTTATACTGGAAGCGTAGCTATGCTTTTACACTTCAAAAAGTATTGCTAGAAAAGCAAATTGCTCCCCCTCACACCCCCCCCAAAAAAAGTGGGTTTAGCCCCATAATAGCTCCTGGGGTTACACAGGGCTAAACAACGCCCGGGGCAGGGGACTGGTTTCAGTTCCTGCTGGGTGAGGGCAGCGCTGGCAGGAGAAACGGGCAAGGGTGCCAGGTGGGACGGGGAAATGCCACGCTTCGTTTGCCATGAAAAGAGGGAGAGAAAGAGCGGCCGGAGCGGCTGCAAAGGGAAAAGGAAAATATCTCATTGGGGAAGGTGTAAAACAATCCACATGAGGACAGGGCTCTGCCTCCACACCGTGCCGGGGCAAAGAGCCGGTCTCTCCAAGGAGAGGTGGTTTTTGACTAATAAAGGGAATTTTTTGGAGGGATTATTAGCTACAAACCTGGGATAAGGCACTATAAGACCTTTTAGCAGTGGGATGGGGCCTCAAAACCCCCAAAGCAAACCCATAACAAACCCATGTGCTTAAAAAGAACAAAAAAAAAAAATAAAAGGTTTCGAACAACATTTTCAACCCAACAGCCACGGAAAAAAAAAAAAAAAGGACGGGAGATGGGGAAGAGCTGCGCCCTCAGTGTTAATGCAGTTTATTGGCGAAACCTTTTATTTTGATGCATCTTCTGATGCACCAAATGCACCTTCATCCTCCGGTTGCAGGACCTGAGCCCGACCCCGGGTGCTTCAGGGCACCATGTGCCACCATTTGAAGGCGAAGGGCTTCCGCCGGACGTTGGTGCCACAGTGGACATCGCCGGAGAGGACGTGGTAGGAGAAGTAGTCGTCGATGAAGGTGCAGGTGAGGCCCAGGGGCTCCAGCAGCTCCCTCACCCGCTCCTCCAGGCAGCACTGCCCACCCACCAGTGGTCCAAAGGGTTTGGGGATACCCAGGTGCCTGCCCAGCACCAGCATGTTCACCTGCAGCCGGACCAAAAATCAGTGTTTTCCACCCAAAAGGTGTGTTCGTATGAGGTGTGGATGGAAAAAGAGGGGTTGGAGGGGAGGAGGTGCCGGAGGTCTCACCATATCTGGGAAGAGGGCATCCGCACGGGAACCTTTCAGGATGAAGAGCTGGGGGATGTCGATGATGTCCTGCTCGCTCAAGCCCAGCTCCTGCTTCAGGAGGTCGCGGTTCCAGTCGATGCAGCGCTGCACAAAGGAGGGACATGGAACTGCCACCCCAGGCCACCCCAGCCCCCCAAATCCCATGCACAGACCCATGTGGGCCCCATTAAACCCTGCCCAGATCCTCACCCACTCCATTGTATCCCATCCCATCCCATCCCATCCCATCCCATCCCATCCCATCCCATCCCAGCAACCTCCTGAACCCATCCCCAACCCGAGCAACCTCTTTCCTTCAGTTTTCACACCTCTTCAGTCATCTCCCAGCAGGACAACAGGCTGGGGTGACCCAGCACCCGAGGGTGCCTGGCTCCTTTATTGCCCACCTGCTTTCACACGGCACACTGCAACTCACGCCACGGTTCCTTGCTCTCCCCCAAGATCTCTTAAAAACACTCCCCACACCCAGAAACCACCCGGCAGCGATGAACAAGCGAGGTGAGCAACTCCACCCAAATCCAGGGGTGCAAAGACCCACCTGCACGTGCTTGTTGTCGTTCCTCAGCGATTCATCTGCCAGGATCTCGTCGATGCTTTTCCTCTCAGTGCCCTTCAGCCCTGCGTGGGGACCGGAGAAGAGCAGTAAGGGACACCAGTAAGGGATGCCGGTGGTCCCCACCATGCCACAGGGGTGCCCTCGCCCTCTCTCTTACCGACGAGCTGCATGGCTTCACCGTGGCCCTGCCTCTGCTTCTCCTTGAAGAGCTTGTAGCAGGCGTTGGGGCTGGCCAAGAGGAGCCGGAAACCCTGTGGGAGAGAGCCCAGGGGTTCACGTTTTGCTGTTGGTGGGATACTTTATCCCATCATCCTGCCGAGAGACACCACGCTGACTCCAAACCCAGCCCCAAGCGTTGTAAGGTTGCATGGGTTGCCACCATCGCAGGGTGCCCAGGATGCCACCCAGAGACTCGCCATTTTCCAGGAAGCCACCCCAAAAGAAGGTGCATCACCCTCACGCAGAAGCCGGAACAGCTCCAGGGACCGATACCTTCCTATCGTAAGCGGGGACGAAGGTGAGGAATTCATCCACGTGGCCCACGTTCAGCCATTCCGAGTAAATCTCCACCGGCGCCTGTACTTTCTGGGCGTAAAGAAAATCCCTGACCGCCTTGGACATCCGCCGGCCGGAGGCCCTGGGGAGCAGAGGGAGGAGGAGAAAGCGGGCAGCCATCACATCCCTCCCCAAGATTTTACCCCCATCCTTCCCCCGAACGTCATGCCAAGGGGAGAAGATGCACCTGCGCATCCCATTTTAATGGGAAATACCGGGAAGAGGCTGGAGATAGCCTGAGCAATATATATCTATATTATATATATTAATATATACAAATATATACTATATTCATATATAGGATATATTAATATAGAGTATATTAATCTATAAAGATATTCTGTTACTATATTATCTATTAATATATCTACATATTATATAGCTGCATTATATATTAAAATATCTATATAATATATTTTTTTTTTATATAGGTTGTGTATATCTATAGGCATCTGTGCATTACATCCCCTGTTCTGCTCAGGCACCTTTGGATTTAATTTCCCCCCATCCCTGTGAATCCTAAATCGTTCCTTACGCAGCGCTTTGCGCAGGGGTGAAGTTTTCTTAGACAGACAGCAGCAGGCTGGGAAAACATTAATTAAACTTCTCGTAATAAGGGATAATTACGGTCCCGGCGAGGCTGGGAAAATGCCATTTACCCGCCGTGGTAACCGAAGCAAGCTCCCCGGGGTCGGAGCATCCCATTTGTTATCCCGAATCAAACCCCATCCAGATTCGTCCCCGTTGTTATTTTTCCAGGAAAATAACCTCCTTTGTGGAGGATTTTGCAGGGCGCTGTTGTTCCCGCGGGGCTGCCTAGCACTGCCTGCCCAGAGCAAAACAATTTCCAGTTATTCAGGATTTTACTC